GAAGGTTTATTCCTGTTAAAAGGGAGTTTTTGCTCTCCACTGTCGCTACAACCATGCTTAGTGTGAGGGATTGCATCCCAGTCAATGAGTCGATGTAATCAACTGGTTTTCCTTAGATAGAAAAGTTTGAATCAGTTTGACTGTATGATTTGGTGAACTGTAAAGTGCCTTGATGACATGTGTTGTGAATTGGCCCTATATAAATCAACTGAATTTAATTAGACAGTTTACGTGTTTTTTTGTTTTGTTTTTTTAAATAATGAAAATGATTCAGTGGCACCTTAACAGAAGTAATGGTACAAATAAACAATTTCAGTTACTTCAGTTATATTCAGTTTATACAATGTCCTCCATCGTTTTTTTTAATGAGGAAATCTTCTGTTGGACGCACGCGGACCAATACAATCAGCAACAGGTGCTTGATTGACTGGTAGCATGTAAAGCTCAGCTTCTGTCGGCCACCGCCCCCAAAAAGGAACATACAAAAAAAGAAAAAAAAACTTGTATCTCAAGGGATGTTTGCATAATAAAACACCAATTTTATTTTCATACTCACAGTTTCATTGCATGCTTCTTCTTTACGGACTCCGCTAGCTAAAAGTAGAGGTTAACTGATGGGATACATTTAAAACTCCGACGTTTTTCAGATCAGTGAAAGCACCACATTTTAATTCTAACAGGTCGCAACAGCTGCGTTGGAGGCGAAAGTTATGAGGAAAAAGGAAAAATATCTAGCGTTTGCTTCTTTTAGAGTTAATAAAAAGGAGGTGAGCAGTTAGAAGCTGTTTAAAATAGAACTGTTTTCCATTTAGGGTTCTATTTATTTGCTTTATTTATTTATACAAACCGTGTTTCTGTTTACTTTGTGTAGCAAAATACTCTTAGGAGGCAATTAAGCTTTTCTAATTCTTATATTTCCTTTTCACAGAGACTTCAAAATGCAGCTGGACGACTAAACCAATTACAGTAAAAGCATAATTTTTAATCAATTTCTGCTTTCAACCTGAGTTTCTGTAATTATTATCCTGGATTTAGCATTTTTAGAAGCTTTTTAGAGAACTTACGGTAAGGGTTGACAGTATCTGACATTATTTTACATTATTTGCTCTTTACACTTGGTAATGAGAACAATGCAAATGAATATCAGAAGAACATTTTGAAGACAGTTTAAAACAGTTTAAGTTTGTTTGAAAACTGGGGGTTTTCCAGTGGTAGATTAGAGGAGGGTTGCAACAGTTTTTATTTTCCTCTCAATTTCTCACAGGTTATTTTTACTTGAATGACATTATTTAACATGGTAATCTCACATATGTCTCCTACACGTCCATACAATTACATTATTTAGAAGCCAGATATAAAATAAGGAACATGTGGTTTAACAGAGATAGTCAGATGTTGGGGACAGCTGCAACAGCAATTTATTAACAAATAAAACCCGTTTTATCATATTTTTTTCTAAATATTGGCTAATTGGAATATTTTACAATTATTTTTATTTGAATATTTGTCCTTTTCCTGTCTCATAGCGTACTTTGGGGTGAAAAAACGGAAGAGAAGATGTAGGATATCCACATCTTGGCCTTCACTGATTAATGTGAAGTGAAATGTATAACTAGATAGTTGCAAAAGTGTTTTAACTGTGCCTTACCCAAACTAGCCATGCTTGGACAAAACATTGATGTCTATGCCTGTTAGAGGCCAAGAAACTGCTGATTCAATAACTTATAAGTTATATAGATTGCTTTGACACAATTTCTAAGCAATCAAAAAAAAGTAATCACTAAAATGATCATTATGAATAATTACTAATCATTATTACTTTTAAACTTAGACTTAATTTTATTCATCCATTAGGATTACTCCTTCATGGAGATTCTGGTTCCAGTAGCTTATATAGAGTAGAAAGAATTAAAGCAAGATGCCATTAAAGATAAAAATACGACAGACAATATAAAAAGATTGTAAATAGTACCAAAAGAAAAAAAACATAGAAGAATAAAGTTGTAATATCCTAGAATATGTTTCTCTTACATATAAAAATATCTGCACAGTAAAGAGCTAAGTGAAGATTACACAGTTGTTGACTTTGGTTATTGCAGTTGCACTGCAGAAATGTACTGACTGTATAAATAAGTACAAAAATGACACCGACTACACAGTAGTTGGCATGTGTTATTGCACAGTAGGAGAGAAGAATATTGCACATGAGTGACAATAGGTAATGTTTTGCATAAGATGTCCAAGGAGGGGGGGTGCGGAACCTTGTTCCCCTTCCTATCACCTCTTCCTTCCCCTGAGTGAGGAGTTTTGTTTTACATATATCTTTTAACCTATTTTATTGTTGTCATATTGAATAGATTGGAATAAGTGTTTCAATGAGGCTTGTTTTCCGGTGGATTGTTGTTAAACTTTTTTGGAATGACTATGACCTGGATGACTGAGAATCTTCGCCAGCATTTGTCAGCGTGGAGCTACTACCGTTACTTTTTTGAAAATAACAATCATAAGCAGGTATACGTTTTCATTAAACAGACAATTATAGCATTAAAAGGTTTTATTACAGGTTGGCTATAACATTCTAAAATTAAATGTCATGTTACCACTGGCTGTAAGTAGGAGAGGATCATAATAAACAGAAATAAATAAACTATTAATACTTTAAAGGGATAGTTCGGGATTTTTGACATGAATCTGTATGGCATCCCCATCACCAGTGTCATGCAATCACACTGACTTACCCCTGGCAGCATCCTGTGAGCAGAGTTCTCGTCCAGCTTTGGTCAAGCCGAAAGTAGTCCGGCAGGTTTGCTAGACCCAGCGAAATAAAACGTATCTCTTCCCAAAACATTATGTGTTCAAAAGAGCGATATTTTTGCATCCCAAAAACATTGTAGTGGAAAAAGTCACACGTCGTTATCACTTGGTCCTATTTTCTCTCTGTTCGTATCAGTGCGCGCGACACCATGACCTGACAGCTAGGTCCTACTAACCTGACAACAGCCAGATGCATGTCTCGCTCCGCCTAGCTCCTAGCTGGGCGGAGCGAGACATGCATCTGGCTGTTGTTGAGCTCGCTGTCAGAATGACGGCGCGCACTGATACGAACAGAGAGAAAATAGGACCAAGTGATAACGACGTGTGACTTTTTCCACTACAATGTTTTTGGGATGCAAAAATATCACTCTTTTGAACACACAATGTTTTGGGAAGAGAAACGTTTTATTTCGCTGGGTCTAGCAAACCTGCCAGACTACTTTCGGCTTGACCAAAGCTGGACGAGAACTCTGCTCACAGGATGCTGCCAGGGGTAAGTCAGTGTGATTGCATGACACTGGTGATGGGGATGCCATACAGATTCATGTCAAAAATCCCGAACTATCCCTTTAATGTGATTAACTCCAAGAGTGGCGGCCTAGTGGTTAGGGTATAGAGTTTGGAATCCAGAGGTTCTGAGTTCAAGCCTCACTCACACAGACTGCCCCTCTGGGTTCCTGATCAAAGAACCTTAACCCCACACTGCTCCCTGGGTGCTGCACAATGGCAGCCCACTGCTCCCTGAGTGGATGGGTTAAATGCAGAGTGTTCATTTCATTGAGCTGTACTTGTTGCAGTGTAATGACAATAAAAGCTGGAAAAAAGAAAAATGCCATCACTGTTTTCCCTCTGCGCAGCCAGGAACTGATCCCCCATAAAACGTCCCAGTTGCCTGTTTTATTTTGGTCTCTGAGCGCAACAACAGAGGGAGCCAACGCTCGCTTTAAAGATGCAATTTTCTGCACAATTGTTGCTGCAGCACGTCTTTACTGTACTCTCTCTTTGATTCACAATCCTACACATCTCTCTCCTCTCTGTGCGCCTCCTGATGTCTCTCCCTCCCTCCCCCCTCCTCCTCAGAGTGGAGGGAGGAGAGTGAAAGAGAGTGCGCTGGAGTTGTGGTCCGCTTGCCAGAAGTGTGTTTCGGCTCCACGCTCTGCATCTCTGCACAGCGACGCCCCGACCATGCAGCCAGCCTGAGGTTACGGCTCATCTGAGGGGAAGGCGGCATCTCACTTTGAGCAGGACTGAGGGGGAGAAGAAGACTGATCAGTTGCCGAGAAAAAGAGAGATAGAGTTGGGGGATATAACTGAAAGACTCACCCCCCCACTTCTCCTCCTCGCCTCACTAAACAGAGCAAAAACGGAAGGCTTTGGAGTATTCAATTTTTTCTTTCGTTTTATATTTTTCTTATTCCTCATCGCGGTGCTGGGAGGTGCTTCATCTTTTCATATAGTCTCCCTCTCTGTCATCTGCCTCCTCATCTACTTCTCCATCTACGTGGTGTATAATTTCTTATATCTATGAGTGCCAGAAAGGAGAGGGGAGTTTTGATTTGATTTTTGTCCTTTTCCCTGTCCCTCTTCACCCCCCCCCCACCCACTAATCCATACCATCCATTTCAAACCCGCACTTATCAGTCCCTAACCCCTCCATCTCACCCCTCTCTCTCTCTCTCTGTCCCTAAACTCTGATGTTTTATGAAGTTGGATGACTTTTCTTCAGAGACAACTAAAAAAACCCTCATGAATGACTTTTTTTGTTGTTTTTTTGTTTTTTTTCTTCCTTCTCTCTTGGTCCCTCCACACCCATTTTCTTTGCATCACACTCTTGCGGGATTCTTTAATGTTACCTCTAGGTAGGTTAACTATCGTTTAGTGTCTGTCTATCTGTCTGTCTGTGTGTATTTGTGTGTGCTTTACGTATACATAAAACACACATCGACACACACATGCACTCGCACGCTAAACTGAAGCTTCAGAAGGAGAGGGGTTGGTTGCCGAGTTGCTTTTGGTCTGGTCTCTCGCCGCTTTCACACGCCCTTCATCCATTAATCTCATCGTAAAATATTTTTTTTTTGTGTTTATGCACCTTTTTTTATTTTCTCCCCTATATTTTCTATTTTCTGCCCATTTTCATTTAATAAACCAAAAATGCTTGATTTTAAATTCGTTTTTTTTTTTTTTTGCAAAAAAACATGCAAAGTTTAATTTGAAATAAATTCAAGTAGATGTTGTTAAGCTACATACGGACTTCTGATCTTCAGATCATGTGAAGTCTTTAAAATTGTTCCTCTTTCCATGTTTTATTGTGCATCAGGGGCTATTATTTCGGTTCCTGCCTCCTCCTCTCGCTGCCTTCCATCCCACACAACTCCACGCACACAATCCTAAATATTTCCAAGAATCCAGTAGGCTACAACTGCATCTGCATGCACCTCCCACCTTCATGCACATCCAGACATTTAGCTTTCCCCAATTTCTTGATGCTTCTCCACTGTTTGTTTTGCCGAATCCTACATGCAGCAGAGACCAGGTGGCATTAGCAGGCTGCTGTTCTCTTAGATGGTTTTCTTTGAGGAGGGACTTGACAGGATGTGCAGGTTGTAAAGAGACTGATAGACAGATGTAAACAGATAGATCTGAATCTCCCATTTTCCCTCATTGCCTTTGTCTTCTCCTCTGTCTCGGTTTCATCCTCTCTTTATGTTTTTGTTTGATGCTTCCTCTGTACTTCTCTCTGCTGCAGCTTCTAGACAGTTTTCCTTTCTGCCTACATGCACATGGACAGTGAGCTGAAATTGCCTGCGCGCTCAACCTGAGGGCAGACTTGTAGCTTAGGCCTACGCCAGCTCCTTAAGTCGCCACCCCAACAACCTCCTTATGGAGCGCTAAAGGGGGCGGCTTAATATATCCCTCTTTATCTAGAGGGGGGGATGTCGTCATGAAGAAACACAAAGGATCCCCCCCCCCCCGCTTCATTTTGCTCTGTCTTTCGCTTTTTGCATCTCAACTCTCCACAAGTGTTAAAACATCACTACAGTCTATAAAATATGTTTTGCAGAAAAGAGTTAATTAGGTGAGTAGTGGATTCATTTAGCCCTCACTACTTCCCACTGAGCGTGTGTATGCACATGCATGAGCAGAGGGTGTTGTTCGGAGGGGGGCGGTGGCGTCCAGCTGATCTAGCACCCGTCTTGTCCGCATAATTTTGATGTGTCGTGCATGAACTTCCATCGGCAGGTTCTCCACGAAAGGCTGTTTTTCATGTTTTCCACCACATTTGCTTGAGGGGTGAAACCTTTCTTCACTCTGCTGTGACTAACTGATTGTTTAGCAGACTGTGGCTTTGATCTTTCTCCATTTTTTACACATTCTTCATTGTATCTCTATGAATTTCACACCTCTTACCCTTACCGCTTTGCTCAGCCCTGTTTTTAAGCAAGAGAGGCTTATCAGGCTCTATTTATTATTCATAGCAGGAACAGGCCAAAAATTTCTCTGTGAGTCTGAGGTGTGTGCATTAAGATTTATTTTAGTCCTCCTCCTTTGGAGAGGGGCTGGCTCTTTGTCACAACTGAACCATCTCAATGGAAGTGCTTCAGATTTCTGGAAAAAATATGAATAAATCCCAGAACATGAACCACAGGTGGTCTAATGTGACTCATGCTCGACTCACCAGCTTGACCCTAATGAGCGCACCATGGCTGTAATGGGCTGTGTGTCCATAAAAATAACAAAAACACACACACACAGGGATCCAATGCTGTGTTTACTGGCTCTAAACCACAGGTGAGAAATTTCAATTCAATTAAATTCAATTCAGTTTATTTATATAGCGCCAAATTCACAACACATGTCATCTCAAGGCACTTTACAGTTCAACCAGATCATACAGTCAAATTGATACAAAGTTTTCTATCTAAGGAAAACCAGTTGATTGCATTGACTCATTGACTCAAATACAATCCCCCACACTAAGCATGCTTGTAGCGACAGTGGAGAGGAAAAACTCCCTTTTAACAGGAAGAAACCTCCAGCAGAACCAGGCTCAGTGTGAGCGGCCATCTGCCGAGGCCGACATAAAGTAAAGTATACTTTACTTTAAAGTATGACAATAAAGTATGACGCCTGAGACAGAGTTAAGTGGCAGTGATACAATTTCCCATTTTGGCATTTTAAAGCCAATTAATCACATTTCTATTAATAGAATTAAAATAAAGTTAATCACATGCATCACTGCTGTAGGCTTAAGGTACAATAGTCGCTCTCAATGGCAAACTTTCATGCATCTGCTGACATCACATAAGACACAATCTGACTATTTCATTATGAACAGTTTCTTTTTCCTTTGCAGTTTTGCTGAATTATTATTTCAAAAGTTTCATCTTTGAATTATTAAGCTGACAAGAACTACACAAGACCAGATTGAGAATTTTTTTCCTATTCCTTTCACTAAATCTTTATTTACTCTGTTAAACAGAATGAGATGTCGTTCTGATTTACAAGAACAAAAAAAAAAACAGCAAAGGGGCAGCGTTAAGGGAGATGCAGGTTTTAAAGCATGTAACACACAAAATAAAGCAAAATGGCAACAAAAGTCACAGCCTAAAACACAAGAAAAGTCTAAAGAGCATGATGGATTTAGGAACATACGTAGAATAAGGTAAACGTTACGCGTTTTTAGGCAGTTGTTTGTGTTATTTATAAGCAGACAGCAGAATGACGGAACTGAGCTTCAGGGTCTGTCGCAGACGATTCCAATCACTCGCAGCCGAATACTGAAGAGATAAGCAGCCAAAGGAGGCATGGTGCCTTGGGATTTGGTGCCTAATTAAAGTGTTAGATTGTAAACTTCCACTAGTGTTATGGAAATAAGGTGGCAAAGATAGATAACAAGGTCTTTTATTAATAAAACAAACTGTTAAATTGTTGTATGATAACGTGGTGAAGGCCGGTCACCACTGAGTGTAGCCCTCATGATAAACGTTTTAACTGGTGGTAATGTTTTAAATGTGAATCTCATTTAGCCACAAACACAATTTAAAAAGTCTATATTTAGTGTAAATCTGGAAAAGTAAAATTTTGATCTGTCTAAGAGGTTTAAGATTTTAAACTTTAGCTGGTGATTCATCCCAGACTCCTTAGAAAACGGTGATTTTGTCTTTTAGTTAGATGCCAACTTTAGTATGGGGTTATCAAGTTATATATTTCCCAAAAAGGTCATCAAATCTAAAGAAATCCTCATTGTTCTACCACTTGCTTTTGGTTGAATAATTGAGTGTTTCCGGACAGCTTGCTTAAAATATCTGTCAACACACAAGGGCTTCTCAAAAAGGACTTCCTTTCCAGCTTAATACGTCTCAAATGGATAAAATAACAGGCCTTAAGCGCATGGCTTGGCATACAGATCACATTATGATAGTTTAGAGAATAAAAAGAACAACATGAGTACACAAAGTCATATACAGATAGAGAGTAGTAATTGATTTGCAAGACAGAATTGATTTTAAAGATTTTTATTGTGACATTTTTATATGACAAGGTCTCATCACACCGTTGTATTTGTAACGTATAACCAGCAGAACGTTTTATTTGTTTATATGTGTGAGGGAAAACATACATTTCTGCATAGTATTTTATAGCTGTATTTCAGTATAAAGACATTATAGATCCGTTTTATAAACAGTCTGTTAACGTGTGAAATGCCACACCGTTTTTCTAAAGATGTTTTTTTTTCCTCCAAATGTTTTTTTAAGTTCATAGGCTCTAAATGATTCACAGCGATGTTTAAAAGGGAAGGGGGTAATTGTTATGAATAATCGCTAGATTAAAGGAACAGTGCTGCTCTAAAGAAAAATAAATAATAATCAAATAATCAAATTTGAATTGAATAACAAACAATGAAACAAAGGTAGATGTGCTTATATAAAAGCCTTTACTTAAGCAAAAAATATTGTCTATTAATTAATAAATACAAATCCAGAAATATCTTTGTTTTAATAGATTAATCAGATAAACCTTATTCAAATAGGGTTTGCAGAAATGAGTCAAGCCATATGCATCAGATTATACCACCTTCAGAGTTCAAGATAATTAGACTATAAAGTAGTCAGAGTCAAAGATGGATATTTATAAACAAAACTGGTTAAATTAATAATTAATTTCCCTGCTAGTTGGGATTAAAACTTTGCACATGCGGATATATCCACTGACAGTGTTCCCAAGGCTCACACATTATTCACCCCTCAGGTTACAGAGACACACATTCTGTCATGCATTAACTATCCTAAAGATGTCTACGTAAAAAAAACAACATCCTGTTTGATCTCAGCTAGAAAGGTCAGGAAAAGGATGGAGGACCTTTTTTTGTTTCCAGATCGGGATCAGTTGGGAAATGCACAATTGAATTAGTTAAATGTTGCCTCCTGCACAAAAATATATACTTCTTAAAGACATATGTTTAATACTTACTGCATATTTTAATATATTTTTTAATATATTTGACTTGATTTAAATGCTTTGGCCAAAACATTTCAGTAATTTACTGGCGATCCACAGATTAGTGCACGCATATAAAAATGAAAAAGGGTGAATTTTCTTTGCTTTTAAACTCAAAATAAGCTTGCATTTAGTATTTAGGGTGAATATGTGCTTTTTAAATTGTGTGTGGGCGACTAAGGCTCAGCAGGAAGAGCAGTCGCCTTGCAAACTTAGTCGTAGCGCCGGGGACTTAACCGCAAGTTGCATATCGGTGTATACTGTAGATGTGTGCACGGCTGAGAGAGGGATTGGATGAATGTGGTTAAAATGCTTTGAGTGGTCAAGATAACTAGGAAAGTACTAAACACATAAATTCCTTTTACAAATAAATTAGATTATGCTGAAACATTAAACAATGAAGCTGTAATTTATAGATTTTTAAAAAATAACATGAAGTAATAAAATAACAGGAAACAAGATGTCTTAATCAGAATTTTTTCCAGACTTTCTGGAGGCTGGGACTCCTGTAAAAGCCAGGAACATTTAAAGGCGAATGAGATCAAATTAATTAATTCATTCATTTTGATTGTTTTGCATTTAGCATTTTACACAATCCAGTACAATGTATTGGCCATTTGAAGATTTCATGCTATCCTTTTTCCCTAATATGGAAAGCTTACTTGATAACTGTGGAGGGTGGAACACAATTCAATAAATAAATACCAAATAAAATAGTTTTAATGTTTCATACATTTATTAAAACTCGTAATAAATGCAGAATCTATTTAACAAATATGGAATGAATAATATGGACCTCAGTTAAATTAAGTGATTTGATTTTATGAAGTAAATGTCATTATTTCATAATTGTATAAATGTATTCATGTTCCTGAAGCACTCCATGAATCAATTTGAACTGTCACACGTCTATCAATATCAAGGAGGCGGGACTGGGGCTGCTATCATAGAAACCCTGATGTCTCATTCGCTGTTTCAAACTGACCAAAATAAGAAAATTATTCTAGGTTTTCTTTACTCCAAATTCAATATTATCACAGGAAAGAGCAGAAAAACCTTCAAAAATATGTTTGAATTCATTTACAGAAATTGTCTGAGCAGATTTAGCCTCTATATCCCTAATTTGGTCTGAAATATATCTAATAAATGTATAACAGAGCTTGCTGAGGTGTAGTGGGGTGGGAGCTGCCAAAGACTGCAGCAGAATCAAAGTTAGCCCCGCCCACTCACTGACATCAGCTCATGTTCTCTCATTCTCCTTTTAGAGACCAAACTAAGAATATAGAGACCGGGAATGCTCACCTATTGTGCTTTAAATGGCAACATGTTTTTATAAATGTGTTTACTATTTATCTGGCAAAAATGTTGACATCAGAGCAAAAGAGAAACAGGAGAAGCTTTTTTATCATGCTCAGTAAGAAGCAGCCAATCAGATGTCAGGGGTTCCATAGCGCGGGCCTAGATCTGCCTCTTTGACTTTGATGGATGTGTGACACTTCAAATTCATTCATTGAGTGCTTCAGTGCAGGAACATGAAATAATTTAGTAAATTATGAAATTATTATATTCACTTCTTAAAAATCAATATGTTTAACTTAGGTCCATATAATTAATCACATTAATTAAATACATTTAGTATAAATACATTTTGAATTAATTACACATTGAAGTAATTGTTGCAACAGGTATTTATTTATTGTATTGTGGCACTCTTCATCCTCCATATTGACCTGATATCTAAGATAATTTATTGACCGAATCACCAACACAAGCATTGGAGTCCAGGTTCTCTGGTTATCTTATTTTCTCACACGATTGTTTTGTGCCTTAAACAGTCTGTTTTTTATCTGTACCCTGATGTTTTTTTTTTTTTTGTTTAAGCATGCAAAGCTGCACACTGTTTCTGCATGACTGCTTCCAGCTGTAGTCTTTGTGCTGTCCTGCTTCAAAGCTTTATTTTGCAGAATTTTTTTTGTATGATTGTGAGAAAATGTGTTTCACTTGCACTCTTTTCCAAGGTTTCGATTAAATCATGTAGGCGCAGGGCTTTGGTTCCCACCTTTGTTTCTGTCAATAATGATAAGTGCATCTGCAGCACATTAAACCGATATAGGATGCTGTGTCAAAACAGTAACCCTTATTGGCTAAATTTATTTGGATACACGCATTTGTTTATCTGGTAATTGGCTCCATCGCTGTACAGACAGAATGTCTCTGTCGCCTTTGGAGGAACTATTTAGAGACGAGGAACAAACAAGAATAAACCTGCAGCACCCTGTAACAGTGAAAATTACATGCTCACATTTTATAAAAAGGTTCACTTGATTATTATAGATCTTAATGCGTATTAGTATTTAGCGTTCAGTCACCTGTGGTGCTATATGACTTCTTGGCTCGCCGCTTATTGATGCACTTACTCATGATAAGTTGAACAATGATGTCTTTTCCAAATCTAGAGGTCAAAGAGTCTGTGGAGAACCCATATTTGAAACACCTCTCCAAATGTTGAAGATGATTGACAAGCCTTGCAATCTTTTATTGTTTTAGCATTAATACTTACTGGACAAAATGAGCAAGATCCAACCTTTAATCTGACATGGACCATGATATAAGGAAAAAAAGAATAAACTGGTTATATTAACACAGAAATGGTTAAACACTAGCTGTGCACAATCCATCAGCCCTGATTTCCTTAAAATACGGATCCTCAGCTATCATTTACATGTGAAAACAATCTTCTCCTGTGGCCATGTCAGTCCTCAGATTCAAGCTCATGAGCAAACTCAATTCAGTTTATTTATATAGCGGCAATTGATAACACGTCACACTTTACAGAGACAATTATATCCAGATCATACAGTAAGATTCGTTCAAAGTTTTCATCTAAGGAAAACCAACTGATTGCATCAACTTATTTACTCAAAGGATACCCATCAAACCAAGCATGCATGTAGGGAAATCTCCCTTTTAATAGAAAGAAACCTCCAGCAGAACCAGGCTCATTGTGAGCGACCATCTGCAGAGGCCGACTGGGGTTCAAGGAGACAGAATTAGAGATACAAAATGAAGCGGGTGAACAGAGCAAATCCAGTTAGTCACAATAAGAGAAACAGTACTACACTGAAAAACAGACCAAGCTCCAACATCTATAAACAAAGGTGTTTATGGCAGCAGCACATCTGGTATTTCTCTCCAGGGTGGTGTAACAGCTACAAGGGAACAGACCAGATGGATCTACTATGATGAGAAAAAGCAGAGAGAGTGTAATGTTAGAGATTGAACTAACAAATACTACAGAATGGGAGAATGGAGATAGAAAGAGAAAAAGGGGTACCTATGTCCTCCAGCGTTCTAAGCCTTTAGCAGCATAACTATAGAGATAGCTCAGGATAACCTGAGCCACTCTAACTATAAGCTTTATCAAAAAGGAAAGCTTTAAAGGTACACTATGCAACCGGTGTTGATTTTCCAGTGAGGCTCCCTCCAGAGGGCGAAAGTAAAAGTGCACTGTCGTAAATATGCACAGCTGTTCTCCTGGTTTCTCCGTCAAGCCAGGCGCGGTTGTTTTGAGCTTAGCAGCGAATGACTAACGCTGCGTTCACACTGGATGTAGCTGGCTCGACAGAAGCAGCGAGTTTAAATGCAAAGTCAATGGTTGACACGCGTCAAGGCGCAGCAAAAGGTCCCGCAGCGCGTTTTGAGATGCAGGCGCAGCACGTCTGAGCGGCTGCAGCAGCGCGTCGGGTGCGTTTAACGCAGGGAGAGAGACACAGCGCTGATGATCACTGCTCTTAAACAGTTTATTGACGCCTAAATTAACTTAAAATGCAGAAATCTGCCGGCAGAATATGCAGTTTGGATTATTTAGATGAAAAACACCTACCAGCTGCCGCGGTGAACCGCTGCTGATGAAGGGATCCATACTGTCGGCGCATCCCTGGTATGTGGGGGTCTGAGCGGCTCCGACAGAAAAAATATTGAAGGCAGGATAATAATCTGGATGAACTGACTGCACTGATTACGTTTTCAGGTGTATTTTCTCACTTAAAAACATATTAAAACTATTTTATTCCCACTGATCACAGCAAATATAGCTGCAAGGCAGAGAAAGGATAGTGAAGCTCCGCCCAACGCGCCTCAGACACACTTTTGCAGCCAGAGCAGCAAAGCTGCTTCAGCCGCGCGTCAGAACTAACTGGTACAAGCAGCAAAAATGAAGCAGCAGACACGATTTTGCTGCTTTTGCTGCGTGAACGTAGCATAACTGCACAAAGATCGCCACTGTGCTAGCAACGAGAATGCTTTTAACTGGGGGGTGTAGCAGTTCTCGCCGTAAAGCAAGACTGACTCTCACGAGACTTCTGAGCCTGTGGGTGCGAGTCGGTGCTCCTGCAATTGCAAGTGCAGTTTTTCCCCCACAGACCATCAGGGCGGCCGAGAATACCTTTGTTCAACCTGAAATTACTCATTTAGTCATCCATAACGTTATGGAACACATTAATTAACTGAAAAATGTTGCATAGTGTCCCTTTAAGCCTAACCTTAAAAGTAGACAGGGTGTCTGCCTCATGGACTAAAACTGGTAGTCGGTTTCACAGGAGAGGAGCTTGTATGCTCTAAACACTCAGAGCTCTGCAACCCGTGGCTCCAGAGCCACAAATGACTCTTTAGACACTGGATAATGGCTCTCCATCATTTTGACTAAAAATGATCCAACACTCTTAATCCCAAGTGGGTTCACAAGGGGTGCTGGTGCCTATTTCCAGCTGGCTAGAGGCAAGAGGCGGGCTACACCCTGGATAGGTCACCAGTCCATCACAGTCAAGTTTTTGGACTGTGGGAGGAAGCCTAGAGTACCCAGTGAGAGTCTACGCATGCTCAGGGAAAGCATGCAAACTCCATGCAGAAAGACCCCAGGCCGAGAATCAAACCCACAACCTTCTTGCTGCAAGGCAGCAGTGCTACCCACTGCGCCACAGAGCAGCCAAAGAGTCTAGAAATAGTAATAAATACTGGGTTTAGAATTTTTTTCAATGGATTAATTCCATTTCCTGAATAAATTGACTACAATCATAAAATGAAGATATATTTTTGATCTTTTGTATTTATTTTTTATATAATGGTTCACAAATTTTAGTTACCAGTTGAAATGGTTTTTATTCTATTTACACATTTTTCCCTAATTCTAAAGTATATTTAAAAAACAAAAGGGAAAAATCTCCGGTGGTAGATATTTTTAAAATATATTTTATCTTTTTCTTTTTTAAAAAGGTCATGTAATGTTTCTGGCTTTTATTAGAAGGACCGAAATCAAAAATGGCTCTTTGGATTATAAAGGTTGCAGACCACTGACCTGGAAGGAGGTTGAAGTATTGACAGCAGGGATGGCAATAATAATACCGCCATGATTATGCTACAAAGAAAAGGATATTTATAATACACTGTTTTGCTTTCTTACTCATATGCTATTGTTTTTCCTTTTTTAGCCTAAGATTATGCTTCTGCCATAAAAGATAAACAAAAAAGCAAAGGAAAAATTTTTACAACCATTTTTTAACACTCATTAAGAAAAGACAAATTTTGATTGTTTGTTCATGGAAAATACGTTATGCTATTAAATTGTGGGCCTTGATGTAGGTATGCAGAGTCTCCTATGAATTCAATTCTCACATCACAACCTATAAATGTTTTATATCTATTCTGCTCTGGAACCTTACTTTATAGTGCACAAGATCAAACAAAGTAAAGTAAGGCATTTGTTGTGAAATGAAATATCTTCTAACTGCAGAAACGACAGGGCAAGAAGCAGGTCTCCTCTATATTTTGACCTCGGCAGCAGCTGACTGGTTTAAACATTGACGTTCAGCCTTCAGGAACAACATATTCCTGCTGTCTGATCCTTTCCTACGTCTCTTATTTCTGCATAGACCAAGAGGAGCCGAGAGGAGATCAGGCCCACAAGCTGCTGATCACGACTGGCTAAATTAAGCAAAAACCACAGAAGTGACAGAAAGCCAAAGAAGAGGAGAGCAACGGAAAGGAATACATATAGACGCAGCGCTGCTCATCTCATCTCCACAGCAACAGCGCTCACACTTTAGCAGAATTCTGGAGAGTAAGCTTTGTCACCATCTATGGTGGGAAGGGAAAGGCAGTTGGGACGGAAAAAGACCAATGAAAAGACTATAGCCCACCCCAAGCTACAGCGTCTTTAAATAATGGTCAGGTTTTAGGACTTCCAAAACCCTGAAAAACACATATGTCAGTCAGCTGTTCCTGACACACACCATCCTCCTTCCCACTGATATTTCAGATTCCCCTCTTCCCACCTCCAGTCAAACCAAGTCCAGTCCTTTGCCTACCAGACTTCCGTAATCTGCATGCAAATTCATCTGTCTACATCTAAATCCCTTCATCTGAGGCTATGAGAGGAGGATTCGCATCTCAGGCCACTCCATCATGCTCGTTCTGAAGATCAGAGAGGAGATCCAGGCTGGCAATGTTCAAGGTAAGCCGTTGATTTGCATGACTGGGTTTCTCATGTGATTCTGAACAGTTAGCCAAACTTCCAAGTATGTTGCTTCTGTCAGATTTGATGCAGCAGGCATGGTTAAAAATTGATGGAGTAGGAGATCTGATTTATAGTCAATGGGAGAAGATTTTCACATTTCCGAATGTTTTTTTTTTATGCCTCATAAAACTCCACTGAAAGAATCGTGGGACAAAAACACAGAAATTATTAAATATGTTTTCTTTTGTCACTCATCAACTTAACTGTATTTTATGAAAAGAAACCTGATGGGCTTCTACTGTAAATGTGAGCTGATTGAAGCTGCCCTGACAGCTCTGCCAGTTTCCTTTCACAATAATGCATTTAATTTTTCATTTCTAAATGTAGAGATAGAATTTGTGGAGCAGCAATAGTTTTTAACGTCACCTTTTAATATGTACATCAAATAATTACATGCATTTTTTAAAGATACAGATGGCCAATTTTTTTCTGGTTGTGACATTTACCTGAATTGTAAAGTATATTCCCTTAGCATAAACAGAATTGTTTTTTAGAGTGCTTGGCTTGAGAGGAGGCTTATAAAGCGCTTTGTTGTCTCTGGATTTGATAAAGCGCTGTGCCATAAATATTTTGGATGTCTTTCGATGAGGGTTACTTTGTAATTTGCTGAAGTTTCGACCAATTCCGCCGTGCAAAGGTAATGTAACGTGCTCTCACAAACCTTTTCAACTTTGACCACAAATCATCTGTGAGACTGAGATCAGGTCTTTGTGAACATCACCCCAAAACATTGGCTTTGCTATAATTTTGAGGTGTAAAAAGTGTCATCATCCGTTTGGAGGACATGCCCAGGCTTTAGAATCTTAAATGTTGTCTTAAGGAGTGGATGTAATATGTCCACATGGTTCTGTCCTCACGAGGGCATTTGTTTTTGGAAAATTCACCAGTGTGTTGTTTGGGAAAACACCTTAGCATCATGCGGCCACTCCCGTGCCTTACAGTTGGGTCAATGTACTGAGCCTTGCAAGTCTCCTCCCTCTTTGTCTTGAGATGACAAAACAGCTCAATCTCTAAAACCGCTCCCTCAGAAAGTCATACACCTCCCCTCTGATTTATAGAATTATTGACAGTTATTGATTTATTCATTCTTTTGTTCTCTTTTGCACATTATCACTTTATTTAGAGATGTAAATATATATATATATATATATATATATATATATATATATATATATATATATATATATATATATATATATATATATATATATATATATATATATATATATATATATTTATGTTGTTAGTGTGGAATGTTGCATATATTTATTTATGTTGTTTGTATACCTGGAGCATGTAACAAAGATAATTTCCCCCTGGGATCATTAAAGTATTTCTAATTCTGATTCTAAATCTCAGTTGATTAGACTTCAGCTCGTGTCCAAAATGTATCAAACTATATTCCTTATGGAGTAACATTTTCCTCCTCACTGAATGGCCTTTCAGAAACAGAACTATTTTCACTGGGAATTCAGCCGGCATCTTCTCAAGGTCTTTTGGTTTTCTTCTTTGGTTAATACAAAAATTTTACACCCAAAACAAATTCATTTCCGTGACACTGATTTGTCCTCCTCCCGGTCTATATGATAGTTGGACATTCCCGTGATGTAATTATTTGTATACATCTCAACAGGTATACATCTCTCTTCTATCCCTAAGGTATTTTTTTTTCTGTATTCCATTATGACGCATAAGGGAAAAATTTGTTTTAAGGTACTTTATTTTAGAGACTCAATTTAGAGACTTTCTTTTAGAGACTAAATTCAAATGTAAATATCACCATTGTACCAAATCGCTCTCTTTCCCCAGTGGTTGGCAGAGATTAGCTAATCTGCTGATAAAGGAATTACCTCTTTGTTGGATTAGTGTTTTAACTTTGGAAATCAGTAGCGGACCATTTAGCTTTCACCTAATTCCTCTAACGGCAGTCACAAGTTTATTCTTATCTTTTGTAAGGGGCATGTCTCCATCAAGCAAGGTATCTGCTAACTAGCTGCATACTGTGGGAAGACCTTGCTCTGAAAGAGCAGTTTGCTGCAAAAATGAGTTAGAAATAAGTAAAAAAAAATTATAAATTAGGTGTACTTTACTTTATATTGGTTTTATGAATCTTTTCTCACATTATGGTAAAGCGATCTTTCTGAGTTGGTCTTTTGGTTCCCTGGTTGCAGAATTTATGGGGAGTCTTTTTGCTAAATGTGTTTTTTTTGTGTGTGTGTGTAATAGATTTATGCTTTTAACAGGAATCTTAAAGAAACATTGCGTTACTGTTTCTCTTTTTTTCAGCCTGAAACTGATGACTGCATTTAAATATATGTTACTATTGGTGCATTATTACCTCCTCTAATATTTTTTTCCATTTGGTTTAAATTATAAATTGTATAGTCAATTAACCTAACAGTCATATTTTTGGACTGTGGGAGGAAGCCGGAGTACCCTGTAAGAGTCTATGCATGCAAACTCCATGCAGAAAGACCCCAGGCTGACAATCAAACCCACAACCTTCTTGCTGCAAGGCAGCAGTGTTACCCACTGTGCCACAGAGCAGCTCCAATCCCATTATTTATTTACTTATTTATTGTGACCAGTAAAAAAAATCACAACAGATTGCACTATTAAAAAAATCCTAATCCTTGCCAACTGGGTTAAAATTCCATGAAGTACCAGATGACATGTTCACATCTGTGCTGTCCAGGCTTTTTGACACATGGCGGGTACCGCTGCTGTAACACATGGCAGTCACATGCTATGTAGTATTATTCGTTTGAGTGAAATACCCCCTTTTCACCGCTAAATGGTGGTAATTCTTATACATTATCCCTTTAAGAGAAGTTCAGATGTTATTGTATTTTGGCTAAAAACAATCAGATCTGGTTGTTGTTAATAGCTTCTACTCTTTAACTTAGATGACAACGTGTTGGGGAAGCTAAACATTTTGTTAGCTGTGCCCACCGATAGTTTTCCCAAATTGTCTTAAAGTAAGTTTATTATTCTTAGTCTTAGTAAACATATAAATAAAAAAGTCTCCACATAAAGTTTTATTTTAATAATTCTAAGAAGACAAATTTAGTCTGATTTAATATCAAAAAGTGAGACGTGGAGCTTTTAAAACTGTGCCTGCTTTCATGGTTTCTGCACTTTTTCACCTTTGATCAAATTGTGTTTGGAAGGTGAGAACATTATGTGGTCCAGAGGTGTTTTTCTACCTACATTTACTTGATTTCATCAAATGATCCCACATTTTCCATCACCTACGTACTATAATGTTCTCAGCAGTTTTCCAACTTTGACAACTATATGACAGTTTCATATATTTAAAATCCATGAATATGTTGGATAATGTTTCGTTCACTTCTGGTATTTTTTTTTTCTTCAGATGATCAAATCAGTTGAATTATTTCCTTCCAGTTCCAGGTGTGTCCCTGACTCTGATCATGTTGCTGTCCTCTCTCTGAATGTTTTGTGCTGCTTTCAGGGACCCTTAATGGGAAAGATGTTACCCAAGTTTCGATAAGTGCAGGACAAGTAAAAGGTGTTTGGAAAATATGTAGTGGCTTTTATATATCTTTTATATTTTATATATCATCCCTCTGTTTGTTGGTCCTACAACCAGTCCATCTGTTCATCTATAGACATCTTTTTTAATTCTTTCAATTCATCCTTCATTTGATTTTTCTTTTCATCAGTTCTTTTATCCAACATCTTTACACCCTCTTACGTCTTTTCCTTAATTTTCCTCTTCCCTCCTCACCCTAACTCCTTTTTTTCTCTCTTTGCCTTTTCCCCTCCATTTCCTATTCCATGCATCCATGTTTCATGTTTTAAAATCAATAGGTGCCATGCCTTTACCGTAAACTTATAAAAAAATACTTTAAAATAGCAAAAAACTTACATTTTTTTAAAGTATGTGTATTATGAACAAGACAATTTCTTTTGTTAATTTAGTTAGTGTATTTTAATTTTGTATTAATTTATGTAATTTCCCTTTGGGATTAATAAACTGAACTGAATTTTTATTTGATGAGAAAAGAAAAACATTAATTATTATACAGTTATACATACATACAGTTATGAGGATATCTTTTAATATTTTTTGTCTACTTTTTTGTACACATTGTTACACAAATTTAGATCCACCTGCTATGTTAATAGTAGTTTGCTGCTGAATGTCATCTCAGTTGTAAAACATTGCTACCTTAGTATCCCTAGTGATGGGAGGCACTTGTTAAATCTCTTTTTCAGCCAGCTGGCAGCAGTGACAGACCCAAGTTGGATAGTTAGTACTCTATTTATGCTCCATATAGCTGGAAAAAAGTCAAGTTCTTAATGCAATAGTAGATGTGAAAATGTACAATGTTGGAGTGTTAATTTTACACGACAGCGTTTCTTCCTTTGTCGTTAACAGACAAAACAGACTCACAATAAACTGATGCACACATCTGCTACTCCAAAAACTTTTTTGGATCATACTTTTAGGTCATGCTGCCCAAATAGAAATAGAAAAATGATGATGTGATTCTAACATTACAGTTTCATATTTGGATTATTACAGGAAACGATTGTCTTGAGGATTTTAAATTGCTGTTGGTTTTGTAGTTGTATTCAGTGAAACAGTGAGCCGAGCCGCGCTGTTTTATGAATGCACTGATTTCATATTGTTGTTTCATGACAAAACAGGATCGGATCAAAAACAAAGCTGATTTCTCTGCAGGTTTTCATTGACGTGACTGGCTCAAGTTGCAGGTAGGGTTTTCTTCAAATTTTAGCTGTCACACTTAACAGAAAAGCCTCATATGTGCCTAGAACCAGTTTTTCAAAAGGAAACAACAAGCACACAGCAGCCCCTCTGTAGAAAACAGAGGAGAAAAATATGAGAGAATGGCAGAAAAACACATTTAGTGAAGAGGCACAACATAAAGAGAGACTTTTTTTTTGGC